CTTTTGCAAGGGAACTATTTAGAAGAAGATGGTAGACAAATTTAAATCATATACGAAGTATATTATTTATTGGAATAATGGTGTAGTTTTTAGGCTAAGAACGATAACTACTTTCTATTGTTATTAAAATGACTTTTAACCTAGCGTCATGTCACTTTGTTGGCTTACATCTCTCTTAATATTTATATAGGCCTGGTCAATCGTATCCGAGTACACCTGTCTCCTAGCTAATCCCTGTTGCAGACGCCTACTCAGGCACATTTATGTTTGCCCAACACTTACAGAGCCAGTATGTTGTTTACACTGCAACTTTGTTGTGCAGACCTTAGTAACAGTTTTGGACGTGATCAACAGTGTGATCCGTCTATCCAGGGCTTGGATCAACCCGTGGTATGGTTTACACTTACAAAATGTTGCCGCTTTACACAGTCCGTTATTATCAAAAAATCACCTTGCCAAATCGACCACAGTAAAATTCAAACACAAAGGTTTTATCCACTCGGCCACTCGCCTATCATATTCATATAATAATAATAATACGATGTGACGGTTGATTGGGCAGGATTTTCGTGGTATTACATTAAAATGAGAAGCGGTCTAGGAGAAAAGAATTTGAGAAAAGTGGGTACAAAATAACTTAGAAATTCTTCTCCTTGAAAAAGTATCTCACAAAATTTAAAAAAATGAATAACGTCGGAAAGGGGCAGAAAAAAGTATTTAAAAAAAAAAGAAAGTGACAAAGGTAATGGCCGCGTTGGTGTGGGAAACTAGAAGAAAAAGTAAGCGGGAGAATTGATGGTAGCAGAAGTTATTGTTTTGGTGTAAATGTGGTAACGGGCGAAGCGATAGATGGGGAAATAAACATTGATATGCAGAGAAAGAACTGAAGATGGCCTAGAAACACGAAAATCTGGTAGAAAAAGGTCGAGGATTAGTGTATATTCCCGGATGGAAAGAATTTTTACTTATAGCCACGAAAAGGATAATAACGGAGAAGGACAGGTGGAACATTTCGCTCGAGTGGTTGAGGATCAATTGACACATATTTCCGCGAGTGGACAGCAAGGCATGCCACAAAGCTATAGTGGCTACCATTGAGCGGAGCAGCAGGATGCCAACCTTGTTTTATTATTTACACGCATTTGATCCCGATGTTCAAGTCGGCCTCGCTCAAAAAATTGTATAGATAAGAAGCAGGACAGGCGCCAGTCCCTTTGCTTTGGCGCCAGTTCCTTTGCTTTGGCGCTTTGTTTTGCCATAAAGAAAAGGGGATGCTACATCGATACAGATTGTCTTTGAAACGCAAGTGGCCTTCGAACTGACATATATATATATATATATATATATATATATGTTTATACACGTTTCATTAAATAATATAGACAAGTGTTGTCTATTTATTTTATGTAAAATTTGTTCGTAACATCTGATAAGTTTGATAACATTATCATTAAACGAAGAAAGAAATTCACAATATTGATCCATATTTTTTTTAATATAATCTAAGCTTTCGGCTTACTTAAGCCATTATCAAAAATGTAAATTACAAACATATTAAACAATATACGGACACGACAGTGATGATAGTCTGTCATTGTTTACATAGATAATCTCTAAGCAACGATAAACACGCGCATATAAGACGCTAGAAGCGAAAATCGCACCGCATCTCATGACGTCACACATGACTACACGAGAGTGAATTGTAGAATGAAGTAAGGAAAGCCGTTGGTATAAACCAATGGCTTCTGTTACCAATTATAGACATTTAAGAATATTTGTAGAGATGCCATAATTGATTTTGTTTAGGTTGGGTTTTAACTGTTTGATGTATAATGCTTCAAGTATTTTTAGTTTTTGTCTATTGTTTTCATGTCGAAGTATATATATATGTATATATATATGTATCGTAATAAATTAAATTTAAATATCTATGTAACTTGTCTCTACTCTAAGTTTCATAGAAATTACGCCCAGAAGACTTTATTGTAAACATCTTATTTATAAAACTGAAAATAAATTCAGTTTCAATCAAGTCTCTTAAAGAGTGCATGTTTCCAGCGAGCTGATTGATTTGTTTTACGGATTATCACCCCTTTGTGGGTTATTTAAAACCGAAACATTAACCCTGTACATTGGGTGGCTCTTGGGATTTAGGTTGCCTTGTATTGACGAAGATACTTCAATGTTTGATACAAATCATCGACAGCTTCGCGAATGGAGACGACAGGAGGTATCGCTGACTTTCTTTATCACCTATGTATTAAAATTAAAATTACTTCAACCGTGTTTAAAGTGAATAACTGACAGCTTTTTCTTGGGAAAAGTTAAACCAACTGACCAATAAACTCCATTCCACCAACATTTGAATAGGGCGTGCAACTATGCGGGCATATTGTCATCATAAAGAACATTGCCTGGATATATAAAATCTAACCATGAAGCGAAATGTATAATCAAAGCGGGCTTTGTGTTATTAACTCTTTTAATTCCACAGACAAAATAAATAGACAGAGACAAAAGATTGATTTTAATTAAATCGCGACAACGATGTAGTTTTAATATTAGCAGATATGAGAGTCCATTGTTTTACATGGAAGACTGCAGCAACTAGGTCGGTAATCAGTAAAACAATCAAATGCTGGCACACACACACACACACACACATACACACACACACACACACACACACACACACACACACATATATATATATATATATATGGGAAAAAGATATATGTTTTTACATATCAAGTACAATTTTAGGGGGAAAATATGATAAAATGGAAACATTTTCGTGTAACGCATTTTGTCTTTAGTCCGATGAAGTCCTAAAGGATGAAACGCGTCACAAGAAAAAATTGTCACACACACACACACACACATATATATCACGAAGTAAGTGTGATAAAATTCGTGAAGCACAACTAAGTTTCAAAATAAAACATATTTATGAACACAAAAGCTCTATAAAAACTGGGGATCGTTTAAATTCATTATTTTGTCTTATTGTAAATAAAAAAGAATTCTTTCAATTTTAAACTAATCGCACTGTCAGCCTCTTCAGTATGCAATTTTCTATCGGACTTTACGAACTACAGTGAATTGTCGGATAGTACAAAATAATCTTGTAAAGATTCAATAAGTTTTCATGAACATTTTATGAAATGAATAAATTGTCGTAGATTTGTCATTTATTTCCATTGGACATTAAAATTGAAAGAAAAGTAAAATTGATTAAACAAAAATCAATACACGAAAAAAATTTCTTAACAATGCTTTTGTGGGCCACACCACCACGGACTATAGTTTGCCAACTGCTAACCTAGATGAATTGCTTTATATTAAAAGCAGATACTGTTGACAGATTTGAAAACTTGCAAAACTTTAACTTCTTAAGTCTTTTTTTTTTACCCGAAAGTGTGTTTATGGTTTATCTGTAACACCAATACATTCTATTTTTACACATTTTTCGTTAAGTCATTTCACTTATTCCATCTTGCATTTGTACCTAATTTCTTTGTGTAGTGTCCTATATTCTGTGCCATATATTGGCATTGCTTGCTGTCTCCTTTTCACCAGGTCGAAAATTCCATCTACTATCCATTCCTTTTTCCCTTATCTACCTTATCTTTATCATAATATACTGGACAAACAGTCTCGATTATAAGACTATCTTGGTAATCTGCACTTTTCGAGAAGCGCTCAACAGTTCACATACATGAGTCACAATGGTATTTTGCATTGCATACGTGTGCGCATATAAAGTATATTAGGGCGTGTACATCTGTGTGTAACGTAAATTGGAGGATGAAATATATTTTAGTTTGATGAATGCGTGTGTGCGTATCGTGTGCATGTTTGTGATCTGTGAAACCGACTCCTCCCTGATGCAAATATTCAGAGTTTGAAATTAACCAAAGAGTGTATGTGTAGTGTGCACATGCCGAAAGAATGTAAATAAATAAAAGGAAGACGGAAACAAGAAAAAGAAAAGAAAACAGTTTAAAATAATAAGAAAGAACGAAAGAAAGAAAGAAAAAAGAAAGAAAGGAAGAAAGAAAGAAAGAAAGAAAGGAAGAAAGAAGAAAGAAAGAATAGAAGGAAGAAAGAAAGAAAGAAAGAAAGAAAGAAAGAAAGAAAGGAAGGAAGAAAGAAAGAAAGGAAGGAAGGAAGAAAAAAGAAAGAATAGAAGGAAGAAAGAAAGAAAGGAAGAAAAAAGAAAGAATAGAAGGAAGAAAGAAAGAAAGGAAGGAAGGAAGAAAAAAAAAGAAAGAATAGATGAAAGAAAGAAAGAAAGAAAGAAAGAAAGAAAGAAAGGAAAAAGAAAGAAAGAAAGGAAGAAAGGAAGGAAAAAAGAAAGAAAGAAAGAAAGGAAGGAAGAAAGAAAGAAAGAAAGAAAGGAAAAAGGAAGAAAGGAAGAAATAAAGAAAAGAAGAAAAGAAAGAAGGAAGAAAGAACGGAAGAAAGAAAGGGAAAAGAAAGAAAGAAAAAGAAAGGAAGAAAGAAAGTAAGAAAGGAAAGAAGGAATAAAGAAAGAAAAAGGAAGAAAGAAAATTATGTAATCGAAAGAAAGAAAAATAACGAAGGAAAACACATAGAATAAGTAAGAAAAAGAAAATCTTTTGTAAATAAAAAAGAAGGAAAATATATGAAAAGAAGAAGAAAAAATGATAAAAAGAAAAATATGAAAAAGAAAATAGATAAAATGAAGTAGCGTCAAGATGAAAACCATTTCAAGAACATTGGAATTGAGAGAAAAATGAAGAGAAAGAAAGGAAAAAAAATAATGAACCGAGATTTGATGAAAGAAGTTACGAAAAAGTCAAAAATTGAAAGAAATATAATGTCATGGGAGAACGAAATGAAAGAGTGAATACTAAAAAAGTATAAAAAAGAATGTTAACAGATAAAGAGGAAATTAAACTGTGAATATACAAATATATAGATTTTTAAAAGAAAGGTTAATAACACATAGTGATAATGAGAGAGGGAAGAAATTAGACTAAGAAAATAAATAAATAAATAAATAAATAAATAAAGAAAGAAAGAAAGAAAGAAAGAAAATGAAAGAAAATGAAAGGAACACCAATAAGAGTAGAAATAGATGAATAAAAGAAAAGAAAAAAAAACAGAAAACAACCTGGAAAGAAAGAAATGTATTTATGAGAGAGAGAGAGAGAGAGAGAGAGAGAGAGAGAGAGAGAGAGAGAGAGAGAGAGAGAGAGAGAGAGGATGGGCTCGCACGAAATGATTATGTCCAAAGGAACAAAGGTGAGGAGAGCAAAATAACGAAACAGAATATGAGAATTACTTTGAAAACAGACGCTAAAAGATAAAATACGCACACACACATGTACAGAAAACAGAGTGTAAGAATGACAAACATATAAAAGTAAGACGGAGATGTGTATGATGGTATGTGTGTGTGTGCGTGTGTACATACGCTTCAAACAAGCATCGCTTATGAACGCGCGTATGTCCATGCGTACAAACGTATAGAAAAGTCGTCACACTCCTAAAACTTTCTTTTAATGTTAATTGCACTCGGCGGTGTTGGATATCAATTCTTGCAAGAATGCATGTGCGCATGTGTGAGTGCGCACGCACATACGTCACGCCAGTGAAAAAGCAGCGAGCAAATGAGATTATTAGCGTGTGCGCATGCGTCAGCACAAGAGACCCGCGTGCCCGGGAAAAAAGATCGACAGAAAACAAAAGAAAAATAAAAAAAAAAAAAAAAAAAAAGAAAAGAAAAGAAAAGAAAAGTGCGTTCCCTTGGCTGTTTACGACGCAACAAGTCGACCAGTCGGGTGATTTCGGGGACTCATGCCTCCTCTTGAGTTGCCCCTAACGCTTACGCACCCGTTTTATTCTGTTTTTATTCTCCTCTTTTACATTTTTTTCTATTGCTACTGCAACCAAACATTTCCCGCTTTCATCACCATCACCACTAAGCGTTCGTTATTATTGTTCATGTCAGACTTTCTTACTTTTTCATGTGCCCTTCCTCTTCCCACAACTCCAATTTCTCGCCACCTCCTGCTCTTCAAAATTTTTTCGCTATTTTTTTCACCTTTCTCTCTTCTTGCTTTTTGCTGAATTTTCCTTAACGTTGCATACATGAATACAATTGTACAGATTTAAAGAAGTATCGACAAAGATTCCCTCCTTGCTGGCAAATGTCCAAGAGGGAACAATTAAGTTATCTACAAATGAGAATTGTCGATGTTGCGAAGGCATTGAACATTATCTTATCGCATTTTGTTTTCCTGTCAAAGGAATAAAAAAGTTTTCAAACAGGACAAAATTTTCAAAGAAAATCAATAGCGAAGAACGAAAATCATAAACTCTTTGGTATTTTTCCTCATAATCCATTTCTGTTCAGTTACCAACTTTCGGACCGATTTCTTTTAACATGTTTTGAATAAATTAAGGGACGAATACTGTTCGATTTGAAATAATTGAACTTTCTGGAGTAAATAATATGGAATGAAGGTGTGGAAATTTTAACTCTAATAGGATAGTTTGAAGGAAATGGGCAGAGGGAAACAAAGAGTAACCTACCTAAAGAATTTGGGTGTATAGATGGCAGGACAGGGACAAGGGGTGGTGGTAAAGAGTCAAAGGTTATTGAGAGCAGGAAGGAACAGGGAATTATGGAGAATCATGATCGCCCACGTACTTACAGGATACGACACATGAAAGAAGTGTTTTGAATACAGTTTAAAACGTAGACAAATTAAGAGCTAAGATCTGATCTACCCAAAACAAAATATCAGGGAACGCATATGATATGTAATAACTTCGAGTATTTTGAGACTTTCCTTGCCGTGAGTTCTATATAACATTCTGGTATTATCACCTTCTTATGTATATAGTTGTATTTTAGTTATCTGCAATGTAATAATCAATATGTGCACAGATAGCACTAAGTTTCGATATGTGGCAAGTTAACCAGTGAACATGGTTCATATCTGGCCAATGGAAGAATTTAATGCTCTTATTATATATATATATATATATATATATATATATATATATATCAGTTGAAGATCAAATGTAGATCAGATATGGATAGCAATCCGACAAGATGATAAAATGGAATAAAAATAAAGTAGGAAACGATTCTCAATTTAACTCGTTTTCACTTTTATTAAGGTTTCGCCAAAGATCGAGAATAGAAATGAAAAAAAAGTCAAAGGGTCAGAGTACTGGAATGTTATGATTTCTGTCTCTGCTTGTTTCATTTTTATTCTCGATCTCGGACGAGGCCTTAATAAAGGTTAAACATGTTAGATTGAGAATCGTTTCTTACTTTATTCTTTATTTCAGTTTATCATTTTGGTTATAAACAGTCGTATATATATATATATATATATATATATATATATATATATATATATATATATGTGTGTGTGTGTGTGTGTGTGTGTGTGTGTGTGTGTGCGATATATAGTAGAAAGTGCTCAATATCCGTGATTAACTCCACCCAGTTTTTCGGGAATTGATGAGATTCGCCACGTCCTCCGTCGAATTCAGTTTCAATATACTATGTACCGACAGATCGACGGAGTCGCTATGGGCTCGCCTTTGGGTCCGGCACTTGCTAACATATTTGTTGGCTTCCAGGAAGAAAAGATACGAAAGAATCCACTTTGTCCTCAACTGTACTGTCGGTATGTTGATGACACCTTTTGTTTATTTAGCGGTGAAGTTGAGGCTGACCAGTTTCTTTCGTTTTTAAATGGTATCCATCCGGCATTGAGGATCACTATCGAAAAAGAGTCTAATCATCAATTGGCTTTTTTGGATGTATTAGTACATCGTACATTAACAGGTTTTCTTACTTCCGTTTATAGAAAACCTACTTTTGCAGGGTTATACACGCGTTGGGACTCTTTTTGTCCCACTAAGCGCAAGATCAACATCATTAAAACCCTCCTCCACAGAGCATTAAAGATTTGCTCTAAGCCTTTCTTGAACGACGAAATTAACTTTATTAAGGATACCCTATGTAATTTGGGTTATCCTCTTGATACTATTAATTCAGTTATCCGCAGTAAAGTTGAAGAGCTCAGAAGTGCCGATCTCTACACTGTCAAAAAATGCCCTGTTTACCTTAGATTACCCTGGATTGGTACCAAATGTGAAAAAATAGCCAGACAAATTTCATCAAAGGTTCGCTGTTGCTTTTTCTCTGCTGAAGTTCGGATTATTTTTCAAACTCGGCCTATGTTTCGATCTGCGTGTAAAGACATTCTCCCTCCCCACCATATTAATTCAATTGTTTACAAATACGTTTGTAGTTGCGGAGCCAACTACATAGGGAGAACAACTCAGCGCTTAGACCTGAGAATAAAGCAGCACGTTCCTACTAAAATTAGAAACCACACCTTGCCTTTAAATGGACTCGTCCCGAACACCTACGGTTCCGCCATATGCGAACATCTTTTAAATAGCAGAGATTGTGCAGCCAAATTTAGTGTTGACTGGTTCACCGTGTTGGCCCGGTCAAACTCTGTATTTCATCTTAAGGTTCTGGAGGCGCTTTACATCGGGTCCCGCAAGCCTTCTTTGTGCAAACAACGTGAGTGTTTGCTGGGACTCGCTGTCATCTGCCTCTAGTTCCCTCTTGCATAAATACAAATATATGTATATATACATATATATATATATATTTTTTCCACCTATTCTTATTGTACATTTCTGTTTTAATTTTGAATCTCCCGTGGAAGCCTGAAGAGCGGGAGCGAAACCGGTTGCTTCCCCCCTACTTATTGTTGTGTTTTTTTTATTATTTAATATTGTTTTAATATGTCTTGTAATATTAAATTTTATACTTTTATTTCGATCATTAAATTTTGTACCTACAAAAACATTTTTATATATATATATATATATATATATATATATATATATATATATGGATAGATAGATAGATATGGCTTATCAGACCGATTACATTTATTAAATGATATAAATTCAGTCAGACAACTTGATAAAAAAACAGACATTAAAACAAATGAAGTAGGTATTTTAACTTGACCTTTAAAATATTTGGTGGAGAGAAAAGTGGTTTGAATAAGTTTGTATATAGAAGGAAGGGGATGTCGGAGAAGATTTTCTGGGTAAACCTAGTAATAAAAATCACGGAAATGTTATCAATGTTGTTACTCATTTAAACATCATCATCATTTTTATCATCATCATAATCATCATAATAAAAAAATATAATATTTTAAAAAGTCAAATAATAATAAAATTATCTATAGTGTACGCGTATCTATGACATCTGCATAAATGATTAAATACATCTATAAACATATGTATGCGCGGAACACGCACACACACACACACACACACACACACACACACACACATATATATATATATATCTTATTACTTCAATAATACCAAAGTCCATTATTCTAGAGTTGCATGATTCGTGGTTGTTCGTTCATTTATGTCGAATGTTTATAGTGTTACAATTGTCATTACAATTAAAGTTTGGATTTCAGTTACCCGCAATAGTAAATTTATTGAGCTAAGTTTTCAAACGTAAACTAATTGCTGGAATTAAGCTTTTTACTTTCTCGCGTGATTTACGTTTCTTCCTTCATTAAGTGACCATTATGCTTTGACAATAATTACTTCGTATTACATTATATGTCTATTTTCATTATTCCGTACAGAGGGTGCCAAGTAGGAACACATATTTAACAGGAAGACAACCAAAAGTAATGTTACGCGGCATGTGCCAAATTTCAACGTTCTCGTTTATTTTACAGAAATATCGAGAGAATTAACAAGGCAGTTTCCAAGCTGATACAGGAATTGAAAAAGTATTCCCTATTCGTGGCTTTGTTCAGAGATAATCAGCCCCTTGAAAATGGTCAGGTGACTAGGAGGAACGACAGGTGTCTCTGTGTAGACCCCACAAAGGTAGCCATGAGGAGTTGACCGCTGTCTGTACGTGTTCCAGCCGGGTAATTATCACCCCCACATGACCCAGAAGTGACTGGCTGACATTTTTACGATCATGTCATCCCCAGCAGGTTGTCTGGTTCTCCCGATTTAAAGTCCCTGGATTGCAACATGTAGGTTATCGTCAAGAGAGACACTAACTAGTCCCACAATACTCAATAAAGATCACTGTCGTGAAAAAAAATCATCTGATTTAGACATGTGGCCAATTTTGAGGCCACATTGAGGCTTGCGACAGATTTATAGAATAAATTTTTTCTGCTTTCCTAAATTGAAAAATACTGATTTGTTTTTTGTCTATTTCTGAGATTATGTACACTATTCACATTATTCGGACTATTGTCCTCATTTTGTTGCTATATTTATCACAAAGTTTCGGCCATTGTATGCTCTGGCCTTCTTCAGGTGTTTGGAATGCCGAACTGAATCCTTTATTTCGCTCGCTGGTGTAGACTGCCATGTCTAATGGATGTCATTTATCAGTTATCTTCTGTGAATTCACCTCTCCAAGTTCTCCACTGCCTTAACCAGATATTGAACTCACAACTCTTTGGGTCCTGTCACTGGATCTAACCAACGCCTTAAGGACACATAAAACAGGGGATAAAGGCGTTGGTTAGATCCTCATTGACGAACAGAAAGAAAGATGAGTTGGTGAGAGCAAGGAGATGGTTAATGTTCATTAAAACTGTCCCTCACCCTCTCTACAGTCCAGACCTTGCTCCCTGTGAGTTTTTGTTGTTCTTCAAGATGAAGGCTGTGACAAGAGTCCTGGACATCTTCAATTTGGACGACTTTCATGGGACCTCCACACAGTGGGTGGAGGGCTATAACACGCGCATTGAAGTCAGAGGATCCTACTTTGAAGGAGATTAATTTTGTACTACTCTGAAATTAATAAATTTCTCTCCTGAAAAAGACTCAAAACTTCTGGAACGCACCTCATAGAAAGTATACAAAAGGAGCGAATGAAAGAATTTGTAGAGATGGCTTGACTTGTACGTACGTGGCTGTTGTAAAGTCTTATTAAAGATACTGAGGAGCTTACACTAGAGAAGAGACCAGGGTTGGTTTGGTAGAATTAAGTATGTCTATGTTGTCAAATAGGCTTAGGGCATTGTATGCTGTGTACTTTCTCTGGTGTCCAAGGCGACATTATGCATTTGCCGGTGGGAAACAAGACAAGTCTTATTCCGCAAGTATTCTAAAGAGAAAAGACGAGAGAGAGAGAGAGAGAGAGAGAGAGAGAGAGAGAGAGAGAGAGAGAGAGAGAGAGACACACACACACACACAGACAGACAGACAGAGACAGAGAAAGATATACGGAGACACAAGCAGACAGACAGAGAGAGATTCTACATGTCTCTTTTATACTGATTTTTGACAACGCCATCTAGTGGTCGTTAGCAGAAGTACCCTGGCAGACAAGTGGGGTAATAAGACAGATGTTTTAAACGAGTACTGGTTTTTCGATATTTACAAAACTGATTTATTATTATTATTATTGAAAGGTCGAGTGATAACATCTTAGGCACAAAACAATTTTTACTGTTTTGTGAGTTCAGTTTAAAGCATCAAACATTTGCTTAACAAGTAGCTGATGCTGCTAATTCCCGTAAATTCTAATGTCAACCGAAATTGATATGGATTAAAAAGTGAACGAAATAATAATAATAATAATGATAATAATAATAATAATAATAATGAAGCCCGTACCCCTCACTGTCTACGTAGTGCAGGGTTAAAGCTGAAACGGAAGGTTTTATCCTTGCTGCACAGGATCAGTGCTTGTTAATTAGAAATTACCAAGCACACATACTAAAATACTGTGTTAGCCCAAAATTCAGAAACAATTGATCATCTTGTATCAAGTTGCACGGTATTGACACCCACTGAATATAAAACCCGGCATGACAGAGTTGGCCAATATCTGCACTGGAAAATCTGCAACTTCGACGGGAAGGAAACAGACCTGGTTACGGAGATAGGACCTGTTACAATTTTATGGGACTACACAATACACACAGACAACAATCAAAGCTAACCGCCCAGACATTGTTATTAGAGACCGCAAAAAAAAAAAAAAAGAAGCAAAAAAGGCCTTCTTATTGATATGGCAATCCCTGCGGACTGCAATATATCTTTGATGATCTTCAAAAAACTATCAAAATATAAGGACCTTGAAATTGAAATCTCAAAAATGTGGCACATAGGAACATCAACAATTCCTGTTGTAGTTGGAGCCCTCGGATTGGTTGGGAAAGATTCCAGTAGATTAATTCTAGGGATTCTTGGAAGCCCATACCTTAAAGAAATACAAATAATTGTTCTCACGAGTACAGGCTACACCTTACGAAGGTAAGGTAAAATATGTATTTTTTTGTTTTTTTGTCAGTGGAAAATGTCATGATGTCATGATGCCATTTCTAATCTTAGGTCTCTGGGCGGGACCCGGAACGAATTGTGTACACACCAGAAATCAAAGGAAATAAAATGATAATAATAATAATTTATCAAGGAAATCCCCCAAACCGTTCTAACAAGTTCAGCCCATATTCTACAAAGAGCTTTGTCCATGAAAGTCTGTTTTTTTTGTTAATAACCGTCTTTTGTTGAATTAAGTGGAAACAAAAAATTACACATTTCTTTTGCTCTAGCTCATTGGTTATGATTTGACATGTGATTATAAAAGAAATGCCAGTCAAAAATATTTTATTTAAATAATAATAATAATAATAATAATAATAATTAATTATTATTATTATTATTATTATTATTATTGATTATGATATTATTTATTTATCTATTTTTTAGTTCCTGATGTTAAATGTTGCCCATCTTTCTCAGGAAATTCTTCAGTCAATATCCGGGCATCGTCGAACTTACAACTTGTATCTAATACCTTCAAGAAGGAAAAAAAATGCAAGTTCGAAAAATGAATGACAATGGTAGAACTTGCAGAAATAGGATGAGGATATATAAGCGAAATCCATTATTGTTTGTCCAGGTGAAAAAAAGAATAACTGAAAAAAAATACTTAATAAAGAAGAAGAAGAAGAAGAAGAAGAAGAAGAAGAAGAAGAATGAGAAAATCAAGGCAGCTGCTGCCATCACGACTAACGATAATAACAATAGGGAGAGAGAGAGAGAATTAAGTCGAAAAATACGGCGCACAGATATTGTTTGATGAAGTTTTAGCCAGCTGTGACCTGTACGTTTGGATAGACCCAACTTCCTGACAATTATACAAGCTTTCTTCTTAGCAACATCCTGCGGGCCTCTCACTCCTACACCCAAAATAATAACACCATCAAAAAGGAGACAGCTATAAGAGAGAAAATGAGAGAGAAAGTGAGAATGAGTGAGAGAGATTGAATAAGAGATAGAGAGCGTGAAGGAAAAAGAGTGTAAGGATGAGTGCAACAGTGAAAATATGAGAAAGAGAAGAGTATAAGCAAAAGAGAGAGAATAAGTAAGACAGGGTGGGTGTGAGATTGAGTATATGTGAAAGAGAATGGTGTAAATGAGAAAAGACAGTGTTAGATAGATGGATATATATATATATATATATATATATATATATATATATATATATATATATATATATATAGATAGATAGAGAGAGAGAGAGAGAGAGAGAGAGAGAGAAATATATAAATAAAGGAGCATACGTAAAAATTATTTAATGAAAAATATTTGATTTTAAGTTAGAAAGATGAAATACTTTTATTTGTTATAATTAAACTATACAATTTTTTTTATTGAATCCGGCTTACACTAGCGTCTTGAAAATATTTGCTGTATTTATATGCACGTCGAAGTTCTGAAAAGTTATATATATATATATATATATATATATATATATATATATATATATATTGTCATCCGCAGACAGACTGTTTCAAAGTTGACGTGGAAGCCGGAAGAGAGTTCCACAAGCAAGAAGTGCGATAGAAGATACTGTTAATGTAGAAATTACGGTTACATAAGTGGAAGGGATAGTGAAAAGAGAAAACTTGCTAAAAGCTACAAAGGATAGGACGTTCTGGAGGATTATCATCGCCCACACCCTGAAAGAAGATGAAGCAAACAGGCGCCATTACTTAATGTTCTAGTTAAGAAAAGCATTTGTTGATACTAACAGTAAAAGGGGATATAAACTGGCCTAAACTGGTATAGTTTAGACAAGGCTACTTTTTACTCCGTTAATACTGAGGGTCATTTTCACAGCGTTAGTGGGAGTTTTCAAACACCCAATTTCAAATATAATTATATCATGTATTTCTTAATTTTATTTCTATAGATTGTCTTGAATGTTCTTTCTAAGATGAAAAAACAAAAAATTTTATTTTCAAAATTCGAATAAAAAAATAAATTTGTATGTTTTAAGAATTTAAATATGCAAATATGTTTCTTTTTATTTTCAGTATGATCTTTTAAAATAGTTTATGATCAATCTGACTGGTTTTAAGTTGTTTTTCATATTCCAGGCAATGAACTGTGAGCTTTGCTGTGAGCCGGTGAGCATGCGTTTCTTTCATCATTATTACAGATAGTCGTTACTTTAAGGTCATGTGCTAATAATTCCCGCAGATATTTTAATTAAAACCAGAAACTCCTTGTAGATACTTGTCAGGGTAGTCAGAAAGCGACTTGGCTAATGAAAATTTGACTTGCTACTTGCTACATATATAGGAAAAACATTTTTTGAATGTTCAAACACTCCCTTGTACTAACGTTTAACTTCCATAAATTTTGTAAACCTTCAGAAATAAGAAAGTTACATCAAAGTTGTGGAAACTAAAATCGCAAAATATTTTCCTCAAGGAAAGAAACAGATTATTTAAAATTATGCTATTTGATGGTGATTTGAAGTATATGTGTTAAATTTCCGGTGAAACACAGGAAACACTGAATAAATTGACAAATGAACTGATTGATCAATTTTTTTTTCAAAATGTTTGGTTAGCTATGGCAAAAGAATCTTCATGATTCATTTTAACTCAAAAATGAGCATTCACTTATACCCAATGAGCATCGGATGCACTACAGTAGTAATAATTTGCTCGAATTGTTTGTCAGTAATTTCTCAAAAAAAGGTCCTCTACTAATTCTGAAAGAGGCACGGTGGATAGCGGCGCGGATTGAGGAATCGGAGTTCGAATTCCAGTCGAATCCATTACATTCACTTACATGCTAATACCCTTGGGAAAGGTATGAATCCTTTTCTCTCACCCCCCCATCAAATCTATGGGCAAATAGCAGGATAGACCGGGTTCTATAGCCTTGGATGACAACTGGTCTACGGCAGAAAGAAATGGCAACCTACTGCGTGAAAAATCTGCTTCGTCAGTCATGTATTGAAAGATACATGATCACGCATGGCACATAACTAACTAATTTTGACCAATACTTAAAATTAAATCGGCACAAAGCCAAATCGTGATGATTGTCTCACACTAATTTCCAAAGTCGGGAAAATACTCTTTTCCAAAAATCAAATTCGAAATATTAGATGTTACATGGGGATCGAATTCAATGTCACCAGTGTAAAATACACAACTACCTCAACTACAAATCAAAGCCCCTTTCCTCTGACTTAGCTTATTCTTTCAGCCATTTATTATTAATTAGGAATTTAAGAAAGAAAGGGGAGGAAAAAGCTTCTTTTTTTTTCGTTTATTTTTCAATGGGTCGGATTAAATCTCGAATGAAGACCCGGCGTTGGGCCAGGCACGCGCCGGTTGAAAATACCACGCGAGCAACGAACAAGATGAAGTTGGATGAGGAGAGGGAGTGGCTAAGGCAGCCGGGAGGGAGTGGGGGCCTGTAACAGCGGAAGAACGAATGGACAGGAATGATCCAAATGTGGACCAGTTGCTAATGTTTAGGGCAGGGGAAGATCACTAAGCATCACTGGAAAGGGAAGAGTTAAGTTTGACCCCGATTTAGGGCTGAGCGATGTTGGAAGGGTTAGAGTAAACCTTTGGGCTGATGTGCGCCATAAGGCTGAAGTAGATAGGTATGTGTGTTTGCATACCTATATATATTTTTTTTTTTCTGAGTGTATTTATCGTGCGTGTGTTTGAAAGTTAGTAAAGAAGTAATTGGAAAAGGAGACACCAAAAGAAGTGAAAGAAAATAATGCTGAGGAAGTATGGGACTAAAAAAATAGACAAACAGACTGACAGGTTCACACACGCGTACATACGCACATAAATAGATGCCAACACGCAACAGGCATATATAAATGGATTTTGATTTATTATTCAACATATTTTAATTTATTGCTTAAACATTATTTTTTAATTTTTAATGGATACCCATATTTGAGTGTAGATGCTCTGTTTTTATTTATGTATTTATTTATTAAACAGTATATTTGTTTATTTCTATCTACCGACCTAAATATTCGAAAAAAAAACCCAAAAAAAAAAAAACGTTTAAGCCATACATTATATATATATATATATATATATATATATATATATATATATATATATATATATATATATATATATATATATATATATATATATATATATATATATATATATATATCGAGAGAGAAGGAGAGAGAAATAGATAGATAGATATGAAATGGACAAAGCCCGACAATTATTCTAATATATTTTCTGTTTATACTTAATTTTTATAGATACAATTATTTAACTATATGCTTTGTTTATAATAAACAGTATTAATTACATTTGCCGGCTTGAATGTTCGAGAAATTAAAAACAGTCATTTAACTTCGCTAACAAGACCCTTCTTTTGTAGCTAAATAGTATAGCACGATAGGCCAAATAAGCATTCCGTTCAGGATACAGGTTCGATTCCTGTCGGAGTACACATAATTTCTAGGAAAGTTTTCGGCTATTCAGTCCGGTAAATGTAATTAATACTGTTTATTATAAGGTGTATTTCGGCAGAAAATATTCATTTAAACAAGTTTTATCAAATTCCACCGACGAGGTTTCTATTCATGTTTCATTATATCTTTCTAATTTCCGAATAAGGTATTTTATATCGGGATTAATACAAAAAAAAAAAAGCAAAAAGCAAAACAATACTGAATAAAATATCTTTCTAAATAAGAGATCGTATCTTGAATGTGTAGTAAAAAATATGAGACCCCCCCCCAAAAAAAACAAACCAGTAAATGATTTTCCAAGCGTTGCTTAACATATTAATAATACTCGTTTCTGACAATCCTTTAACCTTAAACATTCCAGAGGTGATTTTGCTTGCAAAGCAAAAATTTTATCCTGCCAATGTAAGTGACTCAGATGATGATAGCATTTTTGAATTTTGTAGATATATTGTCATATCCTGCTATGGCAACAGAAAATGACCATGACTGAAATTATGTAGTGCAGTAAAGGAGCCACGAAAAACAATGCAGTGGAAAGGAAAGCAGTGAATAATGCAGAGTGTTAAAGGTTAATATATTATTTTATGTGGATGTGTGTGTTTGTGTGTTTCGGCAGCAAGTATTAAATTCAACGGATAAGGTCTAACTGTTTTTATCATATTTTTCAATTTTCGAATAAATTGTTGTATAGATATTGTTAAACTGTTTTCTTTTGTTTCAACCGTCACATGTTTGAGTGTATGTGTTGTACTCTGTGTGTGTGTATAGTTTAGCAGTTTCTTTCACTAACTGCTTCCGTTTTTATGGCTTTTTTCGCTTTGGTTTGGGAGAAATGATTATATATATATATATATATATATATATATATATATATATATATATATATATATATATATATATATATATGAACTGGTACCATCTGAGGATGGCATCGAAAAAAAGTGCCCAAAAATATGAGCAATGAAGATCAATAAATGATTATCTCAATAAATACAAAAATGGGAAAAATGAAAGGCCATAAGAAATGTGGGAACGGTTAATCCTAATAAATATTAAGAGACGTGAAACGTGTCAGACAATATGTACGTATGGGCATTTTGGAAAAAAAAGATGAAGTAGAAACAGACAGACAGACAGACAGATTGACAGAAAGAAAGAGAGAGAGAGAGAGAGAGAGAAAGGAAAGAAAGAGGTGAAAATATTGATCAGAATGCACTTGATGAGTTACACAGTAAATACGCATATATATATATATATATATATATATATATATATATATATATATAGGTGTATGCGCGTGCGCATATATATAATATAAAATATATCAACTCAAGTGCATGTATCTACTAAAAATAACGTTTATAGTATTAAGAAATATATATCATGTCTGTGTCTATATACATATATATATTTCTTTCTCATAATGACTGATTATAGTCATAGACCAAATACAAATAAAGCACAAATAGATGTACCTTTGAAAAAAATAAACCAGTTTGTCCGATGATCGCGCATGTGTGAAACCTAAGGTCATAAACAACTCTCTATGCACGCACACACACACACACACACACACACACACACACACACACACACACACATATATATATATCTATATGTATATATATATATAGGGAAGAGGTTATAGTTATTCCAACGAGATAAATGTGTATATTTTAAAAAGAAGATATACCGCAAACGTTTTTGGTTGAAATGTGAATTTTTTATTTTAAAATATATATTATGCTCTATTTTTCAGAATTCTGCAGAATTATGGAAAATAGAGTATATTATATATTTTAAAATAATAAAAAAAGATGCACATTTCAACCAAAAAACATTTACAGCGATTTATCTTCTTTTTTTACACACACACACACACACACACACACACACACACACACACACACACACACACACACACACATATATATATATATATATATATATATATATATATATATATATATATATATATATATCAGGTGTGTTTGTTTATCTGAAACAAGAAAGGATATTTGCATGGTGGAGAAATAAACTGAATATATACGGCGAAGCTGAAACTTTTTCGATCCAACCCACTTCTCCAAATCTGAACCAAATAACTAAACCTCATATTTGGTCTCTTTTATTAATACTTTTTGGGTTGGGCTGAGAACTTTCCAACATCCATATGTATTGTAAACTAAACTTGTTTGTCTAGCAGTAGATAATGGACTGAATAAAGGAAGTGTGCCTGACCTCCTCCTGCCAGTGAAAACAAGCTGAGGCATGAGGCAAGGAATGTCTGCATCTGTGCCTTTTCTTTAATAAACTTTTCAGATCGCCCGTCCGACTCCATCACCAACGAAACATGAGTGGCTTGTCGCACTTCTGACCCATTAACGTTTGAGCCCCAGCAGTGAGGTTCACAAAAGCGTTTCATTGCGTTAGTCAGAGCCTATAAGGAGCAAGGTTTCTTGAACTGATATTCCCAGCGTGTCGATGGAAGATTTCTCTGGCCTTTCCTCATCTGTTCATGTTTATCTGCCATAAAATCTTGATAGAGGTGTCCTTTTTTTTTATCTGTCAGTCTGAAACAGGTGAAGAACTGATAGGATTTATTGAGTGGACAACTTCTCCATGACAAACTACACACGCGCGTACACACACACACACACACACACACACACACACACACACACACACACACACACACACACACTCTCTCTCTCTCATATACACACACATAAAAGCATTCTTCGTTATACTATGTTTTTCAAGTTGTGAGTGATCATGTCTCTCCACAATTTCCTGACTTTTGTATCTTTTGTCCCTTTATAACTCTACTATACCACCCATGAACAATTATGGCAACATTCGCACACAAAAATACTTCGAGATGCCATATAATTTCAGTACGTGTACAACCATGGCTCTCCACAACTTCCTGTCTCTTGTTGCTTTTATCAACCCTTTACTAAACTATTATACTACCCATGAACAATTATGCCAACACTCGCACACGCCTACTTCTCTTATATGCTTTATATCCTTTCAAGATTGGTTTTCAAGCCATGGCTTTTTACTCGGAAGTTTGACTGAACACTATGAATTGGATCTTCAATTTAGTTAACATGGTAACAGACTGAAATAAATTTGCTATCTATCTATCTATCTATCTATCTATCTATCTATCTATCTATCTATCTATCTATCTATCTATTCTTATTTCCCTATTTGTTTTATACTTGCCCAGCACGATAGATATATCAAACTAACGATATTTGGCTAGGGCTTATGCGTAATGATTAGCAAGTTGGTCCCACAAATCATTACCACTGAATAATGAATTAGATCCTCACTGGGTGCTCTGAATCTGTGCTCATGTGTCAAAATTAAGCGTTGCTAAGTAAATAACTACTCGTCCTGCTTCTCTATGTTCATATCTATCTATCTATCTATCTATCTATCTATCTATCTATCTATCTATCAGTCTGTTCACATCTCTCTCACTCTCTCTCTCTCTCTCTCTCTCTCTATCTATCTATCTATTAAACCTTGTTTAATGAAAGTATATGTTATCAGAAATGCTCACTTGAAAAAAATGATTTACGTTAATTTATTTATTCAAATCTCAACCAAATATGGGTTAGTCGCTATAAAACTTGCCAAACATAAATCTAAGAGGTGGGACATGGAAATTTTCCCTTGAATAGTTCGGCTGGGAAGCACATTTCGACCCCCAAATGCTCCATTTTTCTCTTCGTCTTCTCATGATTCAAAGTATTTTTTCATTCCCTTTTCTCTTCATTTTACCAAAAGTGATTCCCCAAAGACTGAAGATATCAAACGCTGGAAGGGTCAGGAATTAGAATCTGTTCTGTCACTTTTTTCTTTCTTTTTCCATCTGGACACGCTCTCGGTAGCAGACGATGAATCAACAGCTGCTATCAACTGTCAAAAATTCCTTCTTCCGAATTCTCTATGGAAGAACACTGGCAGGGAATCGTTATAGTGATGCATGCATATTCATAAAAATGAATATATACAAGGCAAGGAGCTCTGCTGTAGGGCGATCTTCTGCAATCTAATCGTTGCGTCCTCGGTGCATATCCCATTATGATGACTATGTGCCAGTTCAAGATTCGTAAAGAATATTGTAAGCCTAGAGAAAATGGCTTACCTCCAGCATGAAAACGGTCTCAGGCGTGTCTTGCATGTAAAATCTTCCCGAAAAGAAAATGGCGTCTTTACGAGTCGTATATTTAAAAAAAAAAAAAAAAAAGACAGATCTCGGAGTCGGATAGACTTTCACGAGAATCTCTTTTAATTTATGCAAATTTGAATCGTTACTGGATTTATTGAGCGTATATAGTGAGCGCATGGCTAAGTGCTTACAGTGTTAGCGTTCTGATCATGAGATCCGGGTTCGAATCTCAACATAGTCGATTTGTCAAGGTGACTTCTTGATAACATTGGCCGTAGGGGACGATTTCAGCGTGCGGCACCATTTGAAAAGCATACCATGGGTGGTTCCAAGATTTGTGAGTAAAATTACATAGACGGAACTGTTCTGAAGCTGTCGATGGTTGTGCTGGCATGAAGTCACAAGTCATCGTGACCGAGGAGTTCAACGTACTGGCATTGGTCAAATACTAATCAGAAACTCTAACTAAAATTTTCTTAGCTTGGTTGCAGTATAATGCACAGGTTTGTGGGTGTTAAAAAAGATGTTTAAGCAGATGTTTGTAACCAGTCATACACTTAGACAATCCTAATAGAAAACCTATCAGGATTTATTTTCGGCGAAAATAATCTTAAAATAAAATACGCGGATGACACTCTATTGATGGCTAATTCAGAAAGGTAATTGGAATAATTCTCTGACAAGGCATTAATGGAAAGCAGGAAGAAAGGACTATCTATTTATTAATTGTAAAAAGACATAATACATGGTTGTCAGTAAAAGAGACAACCTATGAAGTGACCTACATGTTCTTCTTCTTCTTCTTCTTCTATCTGCCGTGACCTTTCAGGACGTTGGTGATCATGACTCTCTACAAATTCCTGTCCTTTGTAGGGCTTAACAAATTTTGTCTTTTTGTTATTTCCACTGAATCTTGTTCTACCGTCCATTTTACTTTCCTCTGTCTTTCTTGCCTTCAGTCTGTCCCGTGAGTATCAAACTTTTCAAGCCCTCTTTCCACATTATATAACCTGTCTCTTCCTGATGTTAAGTATAATTGTCTTTTTTGAAGATAAGGTTGTGTCTTCTCACCGCACATTCAAGCTATACAGTGAAGCGATTCTGAGAGAATTAAAAGTCCTGCATTGATTCATTATTGGCGGTTACAATCATAACAACATAAGATATGCAGATGCCACAGTGTTGATAGCAGGTATGGAAAGGAAACTACAAGAATTCATAAAGAATGTAGTGAAGGAAAGCGAGAAGAAAGGACTAAACATCAATTGCCAGAATAGATAATGCATAGTTGTTAGCAAAAGGAATAGCCCAGCATACAAATAAAATATTGGAGATACCAAAATCAAACAAGTACAAAAATTTAAATATCTGGGAAGTGTTTTAATAGAGTACGGAAAGTGTGACACTGAAATCCGAGCAGAAAAGGCCTTCCAATAGGTAAACAAAGTATTAAGAAACAGATAAATTTTGTTAGAAACAAAGAAAAGAGTACTGTACTCTTTTAAGCAATGTCACTTTTGCTATATGGTAGTGAATGCTGGACTATCTCCTCACAGATGAAGAAGACACTTGAAGAAACAGGTTTTGTAGAAAGGGCGCAGAAAAGGGAGCAGGACAGCTCAACACCACCGACTCAACACCGCCAACTTAAGACTGAGACAACTCGACCCCAGAAAAACGTAACTTTTTTATAACTGAATAAAAGTAATTTATTAAGGATTTAAACCTTAATTAGTGAATATTTTTACTTCATTAAAAAATCAATTTCTTTACGATTTACTTTATTTAAAATAATTAAAAAATATTCACTAATTATTTAATCTACTTAACAGGTTTGTGTTGACAGACAAAGAGGAATGGTTATGGGTCAAGTGTTACTAAGAGCAGCAAAAGAAAGGAAGTTGTGAAGATCTATGAGATGTAGATCCTAAAGAGACCTAGCACATAAAGACGGTATCTAACTATCTACGAGAGAGAGAGAGAGAGAGAGAGAGAGAGAGAGAGAGAGAGAAAGAAAGAAAGTGGAGGAGATGTAAAATATATAAAAATACCTTAAACCGTCCCCAAAATTAGCATAATATTTTTTATAGTAATATGGCTCAAATTAATGCTAGGTTTTCAGGGTAGTGACATAAATGGGTTTATTCTGAAATCGTTTGCAGTTACCAATACTTTACCAACAAAATAAGACAATAAGCTTTTTTTCTTCTCTAAATCACGTTTATGGTTTATCAAAGCTATTACCTTGAGAGCAGTAGTTCAGTTATTGAAACACTAAGCTAGATGTATGAGAATTTGATGGCTCCAACAGTTGGTTAGGATCAAGCCAACTGCCACAAAAATCACCACCGAGGCACCCTTGGACTCCTTAATCAAAATCTATTAGATAGTACCGCCATATTGTTAAGGCCGATTGTTGGCGAACCAATGAGCATGCAGCCGCTCGTGTGCTGATAAATGCGCGTGCGCAGCAGGGGATTGAAAGTGAACTGAAAATGAAAGAAACACCAAATGGAAGTGAGCGAGAGACTTGGGGTTTTCATGATTGTAAATCTGCCGCAATCTTCAGTTCAGAAACCTCTTGTGTCCTGATCCCTTCGCGGCAATCGACTCAAGAAAGTGGCATTTTGTTTCCAACTTGGGTATCTGGGGACTACACATGACTATAAGCGCATGACATTTGCTCACTGACCCACATCGGACAAGCTCTCAATGTGTCTTTTATATTTCGAATTGTTCGTCAGAGTAGTTAGATACGCACACGGATGCGCGCGCACACACACACACAAACATACACTCACACACATCTTTGCTTCTTGACGTCCCAATCTTTTTTTTATATATATATATATATATATATATATATATATATATATATATATATATATATATATATGCGTGCGCCTGTGTATGTGCGTGTGTGTGTACATTATTAAAACGACAAAAATTTTGTGTCGATTAATTTTATTACTTAAACGTTATTTTGCTGGCGAGTCTAGGAAAGATTTGCGTTTAAAGGCACTGTTCAACGTTGCTTGATCATCGACGCACTTCATAGCCAAGAGGTCTATAGCACGTCGGATGAAAAGACGATTTCCACTGCC